AAGGCTTTGTGTTTTTTTTTTGTTGTTGTTGTTGTTGTTTTTACTTATTGTATTTTTCATTTCCATAGTTTCCATTTGGTTCTTTTTCACATCTCTTTGTTTGTTTGTTATGAAGATATCCTTTTTTTTTTTCATTTATTTCAAAGGGATTTATCACTGTTGAAGCATTTTCACCAAAACTGCTTTGAGGGGCCGGCATGGCTCACTTGGTTAATCCTCCACCTGTGGCGCCAGCATCCCATATGGGTGTTGGGTTCTAGTCCCTGTTGCTCCTCTTCCAGTCCAGCTCTTTGCTGTGGCTGGGGAGGGCAGTGGAGGATGGCCCAAGTGCTTGCGTGCCTGCACCTGTGTGGGAGACCAGGAGGAAGCACCTGGTTCCTGGCTTAGGATTGGCGTAGCTCCAGCCGTAGTGGCCCTTTGGGGGGTGAACCAACGAAGGAAGACCTTTCTCTTTCTCTCTCACTAACTCTATCTGTCAAATAAATAAATTATTTTTTAAAAAAGCTGCTTTGAGACCCTGCCAGCTACGCTGCAGCACCTGCATCGCGTTGGCATCATCCCCAGCTGTCTTGCCGAGGCTGGGGTTTTCCTGGTTCGGGTGTGCTCAGTGATTCCCCACTGCATCCCAGGCGTTCGGGCTATGACGTCAGGCATCTCTTACCCCGTATGCAGCAGGTGGCCGTCCTGTGTAAGTGCAGGGTCGAGGCTCGTGCCTCCCTTGGTGGGTTTTGGTTCCAACGAAACTTGGAGCCTTTGTGAAGCTACCGTGATCCGTTTCGCCTTCAGTGTTGCTGGGGCTCCTGCTCCGGGCCTTCGCTGGTTTCTGCCAAGGCAGAACATGCTTCCCTGGGGCGCGTGGTGTCACTCCCTGGCCATCCGCAGACGCAGACACGGCTGGGCCTGCACCTCCACAGCTGTGCCACTGGGGGCAGGGCAGCAAGACACAGGACTTGGCTGCTGCTACTAACAAACTGAACCAGCAGCTGGTGTCACGGCAGGAAGCTAGGGCCGGGCTCCCCACTGAGTGTCTGTGGCGCTGTCCCTTGTCCAGAGAAAGCAACCTTGTCAGGACCAGAACTGTGGCACAGCAGGTTAGGCCAGCACTTGCGCTGCAAGCATCCCACATGCTCCACTTTGGTTCCAGCTCCCTGGTAGTGCACCTGGGAAAGCAAGGAAAATGACCCAAGAGCTTGCCACTCACGTGGAAGACCCAGATGGAATATTCCAGGCTCCAGCTTCAAGCCTGGCCCAGTCCTGGCTGTTGCGGTCATCTGGGAAGTGAACCAGCAGATGGCAGTGAGCTCTCTCTCTCTCTCACTCAATCTTTCAAATAAATAAATCTTTAAAAAAAAAAAAAAAAAAGGGTAAGCAAGCCACAGACCACTGGAGGGAGATGGGAAACAAACAGGAAACCCAAGGCTCGCCATCGCAGTTCCTCCAGCCCGAGGTCCTGGTCAATCCCCCACATTCTGTTCCGCTTCATCCCTTTACCACTGCCTGTTGCATTTCCAAGGTGTTTAATTGTATTCAGAGGAGAAGTGGAAGAAAAATCATTCGGCACCATGTTGTGAGAGCCAAGTCTGAGCCTTAAAGCAAGAACGGCTGGAGAATGTATTCAGGGAGCGGGGAAAGGGCAGCAGGAAGTCGATCAGTGTTAACTCCACCAAACTGAAAGGCAGCTGACTGGCTCCCTAATGATCTGATTCAAAAATGGGCTTCGCACAGAAGTGGAAATCTGTAGTTATTAAATAAACCAAGTGTTGGGGCCGGCACTGTGGCACAGTAGGTTAAAGGCCTGGCCTGCAGCACCAGCATTCCACATGGATGCTGGTTCGAGTCCTGGCTGCTCCACTTCCGATCCAGCTCCCTGCTGATGCATCTGGGAAAGCAGTAGAAGATGGCTCCAGTGTTTGGGCTCCTGCACCCACGTGAGAGACCTGGAAGAAGCTCCTGGCTCCTGCCTTTGAGTTGGCTCAGCTCCAGCCATGTGGCCATTTGGGGACTGAACCAATGGATGGAAGACTTTCTCTCTCTCTGTAACTCTTTCAAATAAATAAAACAAATAAAAACTAAATAAACTGGCCGGCACCGCATCTCAATAGGCTAATCCTCCACCTGCAGCACCGGCACACTGGGTTCTAGTCCCGGTTGGGGTGCCAGATTCTGTCCCGGTTGCTCCTCTTCCAGGACAGCTCTCTGCTGTGGCCCGGGAGTGCAGTGGAGGATGGCCCAAGTGCTTGGGCCCTGCACCTGCATGGGAGACCAGGAGAAGCACCTGGCTCCTGGCTTCGGATCAGCTTGGTACGCCGGCTGCAGCGCGCCGCCCGCAGCGGCCATTGGAGGGTGAACCAATGGCAAAAGGAAGACCTTTCTGTCTCTCTCTCTCTCACTGTCCACTCTGCCTGTCAAAAAAAAAAAAAAAAAAAAAAAAAAAAAAAAAAAAACTAAATAAACCAAGTGCTTTGGCAAACAGATGGACAATCTGGCCACCTGTTTAAAACAGGTATTAGAACAGAAAATGGTGACTGCACAGTGGGCTTGTATTTAACATACCAGAGCCCTGCTTGTGAATGACAGACGGTTGTAACTTTCTTAAACCCAACTCCTGTAGGGAGTAGAGAGGGTGTCAGATTACACATCCCTGGATCAAGGGTGGCAAGTAAGATATATTTACTTGCTAATTCTGCTCAACTGGTACTGTGTCCTGCAAGATGCGAAGGCAGTGCCTACATTCAACAGGAGAGTGCTGTGATCAATTAGCAATGTCTGTCACAGATGCAGGAATGGGTGGTGGCAGCACACACGCCAACCATTTAGCATTCCTGAACCAGGAAATTCCTCTAGAGCTCACACCCTCTCTGGTTAGACACAGGGAGAAGGGCTTACCTGTGTTTGAAGGCCCAGAGAGAGCAGGAGGAAAGTACATCTCAGAGGGTTTTATGAGACTTCTTGGTGTGGAAGCTCAGAGTGAGACTTTTAAGCAAATGTGGGCAAGGTGCTCAGAACCCATGTAGTGCTAGGTGGAATGGGACTTGGAATGCATTCACACACAGTCCACCAATACGTATCTGCACACAGGTGCAATTTTAAAACAACGCTGCTGCTGCTTATGAATAGCAAAATCACCTTTCAGATGACCCCTTCCTCTGGGGCCCCGTCCCCCCTCCTGTCACACATCGAGCTGCCGTCGGCCTGGGTCAGGAGGCTACCTGACAAGAAGTAAAGAAGCTGCCTTTTGGGGCCAATGTTCTGGCACAGCAGATTAAGCCACCACCTGCAACGTTGGCATCCCATATGAGTGCCAGATCAAGTCCTGGCTGCTCCACTTCCAATCCAGCTCTCCGCTAATGTACCTGGGAAGGCAGCAGAAGATGACCCGAGTGCTTGGGCTCCTGCCACCCACACAGGAGTGGATGGAGTTCCAGGTTCCTGGCTTCAGTCTGGCCCAGTCCGGCCTGTTGCAGCCATCTGGGGAGTGAACCAGTAGATGGAAGCTCTATCTCTCTCTAAAGATAGATAGATAAATAGATAGATAGATAGGTAGGTAGGTAGGTAGGTAGGTATATGGACAAACCTGCCTTTCAAGTAAAAATCTTAATCACATTTTAACTCCCTGTTCCATAATACATGTAAAGAGAATCACTACTGTTTCATATGACAATGTGCAAAAACATTGAGTAAGCAGCAGAAATTACCTACTGAGTCATACAACATACAGAAAAACTGACTCCCAGCGCTCAGCCACTGTATTCCAGGAGTGGAGGGAAAGTCGTCCAAGTGGGACTTCCTAGCACTGGCGTGGGGTTCCACCACGTGGCCTCCCAGGGGTTTGCAAGAGCAAGTTTTCAAATTTTTTTTTTTAAGATTTATTTTCATTGGCAAGGCAGAGTTACACACAGAGAGAGGGAGAGACCAAGAGATCTTCCATCTGCTGGTTCGCTCCCCAGATGGCTGCAACAGCTGGGGCTTGGCCAGGAGCTTCTTCTGGGTCTCCCACATGGGAGCAGGGGCCCAAGGACTTGGGCCATCTTCCATTGCTTCCCCAGGCCATAGCAGAGAGCTGGATCGGAAGTGGAGCAGCCGGGACTCAAACTGGTGCCCACAGAGACGCCAGCGTCACAGGTGGCAGCTTTACCTGCTACGCCACGGCGCCAGCACCCCAGGAGTAATTTTTACCTGTGTGTTTTTCACCTGTGATGGCCGTTGGCCCCCAGCCCTCCCACACAACACACGACTGCAGCTGCGCCATCCACACTTCCCAACACAACACCCTCCCCCGCCCAGTTCTGTGTGAACCACTCAAGGCCACTTTCCCTTTAGGAGAAGCCAACACTCTAAGTACAAAGCAGTCTCTGTCCTTTTGCTAGAAAGTTCTGAAGAGCGTGATCCTCTAGGTGGGCCCACCGGGTCAGGGAGCCGCAGGGCAGCACAGGCGCCCTGGTGTAAGGAGGTAAAGGGGACTCACCTTTGACCTGGCCTCCTTTGCTCCCCAAGGATTAAAAAAAAAAAAAAAAGAACTTAAAAACGTACACATGTGTAAGTAGCCACGTTTCAGTCTTACACACTTTGTGAACTCGCTCCTCACTTGCATGTCAATCATTTACTGAGCTGCCTCGACGAGGGAACCATGGAAGAACGGGACAGTAGAGCGCAGTGGTTAAGGACCATCTCTGACATCAGGGGGATAAGGGATTTTTTCGGAGCTTTGTACGCTTTGGTACATGAACCTTTCCAGGCCTTACTTATGCTCCTTTGTGTGATGGGATAGTAAGAGTCTCCTGCACTGGCCTGGTGTGTTTGTGAAGATAACGCGAGCAAAGGCCCTGTTACAGTGTCTGGAACAGGATAAAGACTCAAACACATTGGCTGCTCGCAACAGATCAATTCTCTGAGCAGCCAGGCTACGACCTGCACGTCTGTCACAAACATATCCCATAGATGTCACAAGTCCTCGGTGACTTTCGTCGCTTTTGCCCAGAGACAACCCCTTAGGCCCACACTCTGAGTCTACAGACTTTTATTTTGATGGAAATGACATCAGGACCTACAGTTTTGGCAAGGAGTCACCTGGTTTCCCATGACCTAGCACAACAGGAGCGCCAGGAATCTCAAGTGGGGACGGGCTAGAACCAAGGCCATTGTCAGGAACAGAACAAACCAAAGCCAGGGCTTGACTTTAGAAGTCCGAGGGTGTTGAGACGGGACCAGCGGCCCGGAGCCCCCCAGCGTCCCCGAAGGCACAGCTGCGACGCGGGGCGGGCCAGGCCTTCGCGGGGACGGTGAGGTGTGCCTCTGTCACCCAGAAGTCCACGTCCGCCCACTGTTTAAAAAGGCAGAACCACGCCGTCTGTTTCCAGGCAAGCACTTATCCAGAAAAGGTTACGAGTGCTTGGACACGCAGCCGTGCCAGCTGCTCGGTCCCTCGGCTCAAACCATTTCATTTCCGATAAAGCTAAAAAAAGGAAGCATCCCTGGGCTCTCACGGCGGCCGCGCCCTGCCCATCGCCTGCGCCGCTGCCACCCCGAAACGCAGAGGCTGCTTAACTTTGGTACAAAGAATCAGGGCCTCCGGCCTGCGACACTTTGACAAAGGAAAGGTGATATGTCCCCTTCAACTCACGGATCCAAAGGGCGCCAACGGGAAACAGCCGACAAAACCCAGGATCCAACAGGATCTCCCACTTCTGGGCTTCTCGATGACAGCGTGGGGGCGGGGCAGAGGAGCAAGGCCGGGCTGGACAGTCCTCAAGGCCCCTCCAGCCACCTGATGCCTGGGAGGAAGTTACCTGACCCAACCAACAGGCACCCAGTGAGCGTCCTTGCGTAGCGCCTCCACGAGCCCGCGCAGCTGGCTGCAGGCAGCCTGCAGGTCCTCCCTCAGCAGCACGGCGTCCACCAGGTGGCCATAGTGCTGGTCCACGAAGGCGGCAGACGCAGCCATCTCCTGCTGCTGTTCGTCCTGCAAGGAGAGAAGCTGCGTAGAACAAGGGGCGGTCCTTCGGGAAAGCCACGCCCCCACTGCTACCGTTTGCTGATACCACCCGTGACCACAGGGGCAGAACGCAGTGACGCCACCACATCAACGTTGCAAGAAAGCGGGCAGGCCACAGACACGATCACAGCGTGGTCACTCGCTCACAAAATCCCCCCAGGACCTGTGAGCTGAGAGCCACCGCACACAGCGCCCCAGGGGATGCTGGGTTTGTATCTGAGGGCGAGAGGTGTGTGTTAGCGTCACCACTGCTGCCCCCGCAGGACCCCCAGAGACGCCGCCATCCTGCGTCCCACAGCCATCCAGCGTCCAGGCTAAATGACAAGACAGGACTATAAATGATGTTCACGAGATAGAAGCAAAGCAAGCAGTTCTAGAATCACCCTGGGGAACAAAGAGGCGAGTAAGGGGTTCTAAAGACCTACAGCAGACAGCTCAACTCACAGCGCAGAACTCGGGTTCTCTCTGCACATCCTCATTCAATGGCCAAACACAAGCATGGCAGACAAAGCAGAGTCATTTAGGAAAGTGCTGGGACACCCCCGACCCCCCACTTCTGAGGGCGCCTGACCAGACTGCTCTCCTGCCACCTAGCGTCAAGGGACAGACAGCAACTCCATCTGACTCAACCTGGCAGCGACTGCTTCTTCCTTCCAAACAAAGTCTACAAAGTCCACTGGACAGAGCTGCAGCCCGACAAGCAGCCTGGTTTTTGGAAGAGAAGAAATCGGCAGTGAAGTTACAAACTGCAAGTTCTCACTGCGTTCGCTCCCCCCCCTTCCTATCCCCGTCCAGGCCTCTGCCGCCTTCTCAGCTTCTTCCGGGGCTCAGTGCTGCCAGGGGGGAGGGGTGGGTTCTGTCCGGCCCGCAACCCCACCCCCCAACCCAAAATGTTCCTTCCTCTTCTGCCACCAGGCAAAGAGAGCACCTACAAGTTCACGATGTGAGTTCCAAAGGTCTAGAAGACAGGGTTTCAAAGACTGATTAATTTATTTGGAAGAAAGAAACAAAGAGATAGACAGACATCTTCCATCTGCTGGTTTACTCCCCAAATAACCACATGACTGGAGCCGGGCCAGGCTGAAGCCAGGAGCCAGGAACTCCATCCGGGCCTCCCACATGGGTGGCAGGGGCCCAAGCACTTGAGCCACCTTCAGGCACATTCGCAGGGAGCTGAGACTGGAAACGGAGCAGCCAGGACACGAACCAGTACTCCCATCAGCGACGCCGGCATCACAGGTGGCAGCTCCACCTGCCACGTCGCAGTCCCGGCCCTGAGAGTTTCTGCTACCATACACCCAGTGAAAACCTAAGAGGAGGCCGAGCTCACTGCTTCTCCTTCTCGCTTCCCCCCACGAGGGGAAAACCAGACCCAGGAGAGAGGCCTCCAGTCCTCGGTCTGTCCTGCAGGGCTGCTGTCACACTCAGAAACGCTCTGCAGCGGCCCTGTCCCCACAGGGCTCCTGGGCTGCCAGCCCCGCCTTCCCCACCCTGGGCACACGTCCCCGGGGACCTGTCTGCCGCCTCCAGAGCCCCCTGCTGCAGGCAGCCACGCGGTTCATCTTGGAAGCACCGAGCTGGCTGAGAGATTACAGACGGACAATGTCTGCATCCAAGCACCCCCATCTCCCTAACAAACACTTGTACCCGGGAAGAACTGCAGTAACCCCACTGCAGAACAAGCTGGGCATTGGCTTCGTGGCCACGAACCCCTGAACTCTCTTCCCAGCCTGTAAGGTGGGACCCGCCACCTGCGTTTTCAGCAAGGTGGTGACGGTGACAGTGACGCCCCTGCGTCACACAGGAAAGATCCTCCCAGGCTGTCTCTTGTCCCCCTGCTGGGTCAGCTAGCTGTGTCAGCAGCAAGAGCCCCATCAGCTTGCGGGCAGCAGAGGCAGGGACAGAGGATGTGCCCAGTGGGTGTTTCACAGAACAGGTCCCCCACCTGGACCCCGGGGGCCACACAGTGCACAAATGCTGTCTGTTATGCCAAGTGTGGCCTGGGGGCTGCCCACATGCTCCTAAGTCACGTGAAAGGTGGAGGCTAGAAACAGAGACGCCAGAGCCCCACGCAAACCTCCCAGGTCAGAGTCTCCGGGGGTGGAGCCTGGGCTGTGTGTAGGGACAGCCTCCGCGGGGACTCCGCGAATGACGGTGGCGTCAGGACAGGGTCTGCAGAGGGGCACGGTGACTTCACAACTGGAGAGTGAGCCAACTGACCCCCAGACAGCAAAACCCATCCACCAGGTGCGTGCAGTCACGCGGCGGGCACTAGAGGAGATGGCAAAACTGGCCTCACCGGGAGGGTGCCAGCAACAGACCACGTCCGCTTCTCCCGAACAACCGCCGTGGGCCAGGCAGCACCAGAAACACGCACTTCCCGCGGACCCGAAGCTCTGGCAGCACGTTCCTGCGCCCTAGGAAGCCGTCTCTTACCCTCCCTACACCCTATAGACGCCTTAAAATAAGTCTTTCCCACTCTTATTCAATTCTACCAATCCTAAAACATTTGTTTAAAAAAAAAAAAAAACACTGCCGGCGCTGCGGCTGACTAGGCTAATCCTCTGCCTGTGGCGTCGGCACCCCGGGTTCTAGTCCGGATTCTGTCCCAGTTGCCCCTCTTCCAGGCCAGCTCTCTGCTGTGGCCTGGGAAGGCAGTGGAGGATGGCCCAGGTGCTTGGGCCCTGCACCCCATGGGAGACCAGGAGGAAGCACCTGGCTCCTAGATTTGGATTGGTGCGGCGCACCAGCTGTAGCGGCCATTTGGGGGGGTGAACCAACAGAAAAAGAAGACCTTTCTCTTTGTCTCTCTCTCTCTCACTAACTCTGCCTGTCAAAAAAAAAGAAAAAAAAATATATATATATCAGAATGGCTGGCATGGCGGTGCGGTGGGTTAAGGTGCATCTCACATCAGAGGACCAGTTTGAGTCCCACTTGTTCCACTTCCATTCAAACTCCCTCTAATGCTCCTGGGAAAGCAATGGATGACGGCTCAAATACTTAGGCCCCTGCTACCCATGTGAGAGACCCGGATGGAGCTCTAGGCTCTAGGTTTCGGCCTGACACAGCCCTGGTCGTTGCATGCATTTAGGGAGTGAATAAAGATCTCTCGCGCGCGCACGCGCGCTCTCTCTCTCTCTCTTTCTCTGTCACTAGTTCACTATTTTGAAGATAAGTAAATCTTCAAAAACATTTTTAAAAAATTTAGAGTAAATCTCCAGGATCTTGAGTTGGGCAATGTTTTCTTAGACACGGCAGCAAAAACGAAGAAAGAAAAAACAGATCAATTGAACTTGACCAAAATTTTTAAACTTTCTGCTTCCAAACTGGTGGAAGAAAGTATTTGCAAGTCATACATCTGATAAGGGACTGTGTCCAGAATACATGAAGGATTCTTATGACCCAATAACAAAGAAGAGAATCAGATTTTAAGACGGACAAAGTATTTCAATAGACGTTTCTTGTTCTCACCACCGCCACAAGGAGTGTGCTATGGATTTCTAAGTAGCTCTGCACCCAAGCTGAGGCTCCCCGCAGGGCTCCTAGAGAGGAAAATGTCCGATGCTCCCACAAGTCAGTCACCCTCAGTAGCTGGCAGAGTGGACGCTTGCGTCAGAACGCGCATGGCCAAGCTCTGCCTCGCACTCCTCCTTGGGCCGGGGCTCCCCCACTGAGGGGGAGGACCCGAGGGCCTCTCAGAGGAGCCAGCCACACTGAAGCCTGCTCTGGAACGGGGCTGCTCCTGACCCCTGGAACAACTTCCGGCTCAGACTCCCGCCCGCCTCTGTTGAGAGCCAAGTCAGCAAGCCCAGACCCCTGGGACAACTCTGCCAACGCCCAGGTTTGGGGTGGGGGTCCTGACACGGCCGTCCCGCCTCCCCGCTGGGCTGCCCACAGCACTCCCAGGAAACAAACAAGCCCCTCCCAACTTACGAGAGGGGCCGCTGTGCCCTCACAGGCCGGAGACACCGGGGGCGACTTCCTTTGTTCCTGAACAGCAGGCTTCACGAAGATGACATAGGGTTTGAACTCCGAGGTCCTCACTTGCTTCAGTGCCTGAGAAAGAAAGTTCCGGAATGTCACATACCCTCGAAGCACTGCAGTGTAAAACCCATTTTTTGAAAGCGCCATCCCATAACCTCCAGGTCAAAGGTCCCGGTTACACTGACCCTACGACAGCACACTGCAGACAGATCGCCTCATCCTCCAATGTGACACTCAACCCAGCCGGGCCCTGAGGCCACACACACAGGATGGAAGATTCCAGAGCCTGGCTCAGAGCCTCGAGTCCCCTCGGCTCCAACTAACCTTTGGAGGCTTTTCCCCACCCACTGGGTCCCCACGCACGGGGGAGCAGGATTCAGCATGCATCAGTCTGGCCAAGTGGCAGCACCGTGGACAACGCTCGGGGAATCCAAGCTGCCACACAGGCCTCCTCCTCCTGACTCTCAAAGCGTGGCCGCCTGGAACCAAACCGCAGGCTAGGTTTTTGATATGCAAATCATACTGCTCATTAGTGCATTTTATCCATACTGTTTGGAAACATCAGTACTAAACTGCTATTTGCATTATCTGCACCCCCCAAAAAAACAGCAAAATCACTTTGCTTAAACAATTCGACATGCAGGCACTGCACATCGCCTGCAAGCTCCCGGCGGGACGCGGCCGGGGAAGGCTGTCCCTCACAGGCCCGCGCACTCTGGACCGTGTTGCAAGCACACATCTATACAATAAAGCCTACAGTGGGGATCACAAGTCAAGATCTGTCTCTACAGAGGGAACAAAAAATCCCCAGGCTGAGTTCAAAGCTGAAAGTCAAGGTTAAGAAGATGGCTAGGCCCCTGGGGCACCCGCCACAGGCTGGGCGGACAGAACTGGAAATGTTTTTGAAGCACCACACAGGGCCAGCCTCCCTCCCTCTTTTGCCCTTTCAAACCACTCTCTCGCCTGCCTCCCTGGGCGGTTCCCTGAGCACCGGTGCCATTTGTTCCAGCTGGGGAGGAGGCAGCCCGGCTCCGCCCGGGTCACATGTCACAATGAGCCAGCGCTGCCACCATCTACCGCGTGATTCGCTCCCTGCGGGGGTTACCAGCCCCGGCCTGCCATCCTACTAGAGGGGCTGTGCTCTTGACAGTTGGTACAGTGCCTGTGGATGGAGATGCACCTATGGGTACAAAGCTCTCACTCCATTCTCCAGGTGAGACCCCAGGAAAGGGAACACCCGTGTTCCGGAATGAAAATCCCTCAGCCGGGGGGACAGGGAAGTGTCGAGGTTCTGCACATCAGCCAGTCCCCTGGGTTATAAATACCAACTGGAAATCCCCAGCTGGCCCGAGAACTCACTTCCGGTTCCACATCCACCAAACAAACTTTGTTTTTGGCCATAACAGCCTGAATGGCCTCCAGGCTGGTTCCGTAGAGGTTATCTTGGTATTCCCCGTGCTCCAGGAACCTGAGACACCAGCAAAGGGGACAAGACCTTGAGTTAGGAAAACAGACTCCCTGGTGCCACTTCTCGCCCACCGCCCCCACAGTTTGTCACAGCGCCCCCTGGAGGTCAAGGAGCACAGGACAGACAGACGCACGGCTGGCTCCAACAACCTACTTGTTGTGCTGTATGTCGGCTTCGAACGCTTGCCTCGAGACAAAGTGATATTCCACCCCTTCCTTCTCGTGGCTCTCCCGGGGCCGCGTGGTGTCTTGGAAAGAAAGAGGGAGAGCTGGGCAGAGCGAAGTCCAGCCCAGGGAGCCGCAGCCTCCCGTGGGAGCCCCCGGCCTCTGCTCATCTAAGCCGCCCACCTCCGCGCGGCCCTGCCCTCCCCAGGCCTGTCACCACACAGCACCGTTCTCTGACGAAGCACAAGGAGGCCGCCCATTCTGCAGCTGAAGGGACTGAGGAGCCGAGCGGTTAAGCTCGGGGAGCCTCGGCCAGGAGTGGCAGAGGCAGGGTGGCTGTCTCTCTCCCTCTCTCTCTCTCATGGCCTCAGTGACGCTGTGGCTTTGGAAGAATCAGCTATGGAGCCTCTGGTCCCGGCCTTTATTTCTTCATCGTTTTTCAGTTTCAAGGGCAAAAGGAGCCACAGCTGCGTCTGCCCTGCTGTGTGCCTTTAATTCGTTATCCAACTGCTCCTCACTGTGACAGCAAAAGGAGACGTGCGGCCAGCCAGCCACCAGGTGCATTCAATGAGTTTAATGTCTCCCCACTGATCTGCACGCTAGGACCGAAAGGCACACTTCTGGGGCACACACAGGCAGCAGCACACGGCTTCTTCCAAGACAAGGCGGGGTCTCGGTGGGGACGCCGTGTTCTCTGAGTGGCAGCTTCATCCCAACTGCATCATTCCCTCGCTCACTGTTCTCCGCCCACTGGTCACATTCTTACACCTCAGATGAGCCGGTAAGACCCTCAGGGTCCGCTCGACCCCTGCCTCCCCAGTCCCTAGCCCAGCTACTCCAGGTCACCTCTGGCCCCTCGGCACGGGCCAGTCCCTCTCCACAGAGAACCCAGCCACCCTCTCTACCACAAAATCCCAGCTGCGTGGGGGACGCCTGGCGGCACTGAAGAGCTCGTCGGGGAGCGACTCCATCCACATGAAGCCTTCCAGGTCCATCAGAGGGGTGTGGCCAGAGTGGCCCCCGGCCCCACCACCTCCCGCACATCCCTGCCCCTGCACACTGGTTCCCAGAGCCCAGGGGCCAGGCTCTGGCGCCGAGGCCCAGGGGACAGCCCGTGACCTAAGCAAGCCTCTAGCTGCCCTGCCCAGAGCAGTCTGGGAAGGTCCCATTGCCACCACCACAGCATCCTCCCTTGGCAGTCACAGGCCATCTGCGCCACATCTGCCTCACGACAGCAGGACCCACAGCGACACCCAGAGTGGACAGGGCAGGAGCGGCAGGCAGCAGAGAGAGGCCGTGGCACAGCCTCATTAAGAAGTGACTGGGGCCAGCCAGATCCTGGCTTCATCACTTACCAGCTGCATGACGCTGAGCAAGTAACTTAACCTCTCTGATCCCGCTCTCAGGGGTCCCAGAGCGCCTGGCCACCTGGGGCAGCAGGAAGCCTCAGGACCTGGCTGGAGTGGTGTCACCCAGGAATGCACAAGCACCCTGACAGGCTGGCACCCAGCTGCAGGGGGCAGCCTGGGCAACAGCACGAGCTGGACTGCCCAGCGTCCCTGAAATGCTCTCTCCAGTCACCCACAGGGCAGGGCCAGAGTCAGCTCATCCGCCCCCTACTGTAGGAGCCTCCGTGGCGTCAGATTGGGACTGTCTGGGACTGTCACCTGGCCTGCAGTGTGCTCCGGACTCCCCTCCTGCCCCCAGCCAGGAACCAGGCCTGTGGTCCTCCAGCTGCTGTCCCAGAGGTTGCTGGTGGACCACTGTGGGCAGTTATCACCCTCATGCCGAGGTCTCACGATCGGCTACAGCAGGCAGCGCCTGGCATCCCCCAGACCCGAAGTGAGGGTGGGATGGACACAGGGAATCAAGTTCCTAGGAAAGTGCGTGCACACACACATGCACACACACACATACGTGCACACACGCACACAGGGGCCCTCTTACGTGGAACAGCAACACCGAAGTGCTGTGGGTCCTCGGCCACCACCTTTTGCTTCAGCTCATGCAATCGGGCTCCCAGAGACCCTGGGAAACAAGGGAAATTCGGGCTGACCGGGCTGCCTGCTGAGCCCCCTCCCCGCCCCTCCGGGGAAGAAACCGCGGCATGTCACGTACCGATCAGGACCACCAGGCGGGGCCGCTCCCCGGGCTGCTGCTGGTACCTGGTCACCTCCTCATAGGTCAGCAGCTCCGGAGACTCGGCTCCCACGGACGTCTTCCCCTCCTGGGAGCCCCCCAGCCTCTCCCGGCAGCCAAGGCGGAAACTCCTCCGAAGACCAGCTTGGGGGGAAGGGCAGAGGGACACCACTGGCAGTTGTCCCAAATTTTCCAGTAAAGGCTTTCTCCTCCTGGCTGGACCTGGAGGTGGGACTGAGTCCCACTGACCTCTCCCAACCGCCTCCCGCTCCGGGAAGGGCTGTACCGGAAGCACAGCAACGTGGAAAGAGTGGCCCTGGCACCCAAACACTAGGGTTCAAGGTCACTGTTTCTCTTGGCATGTGACCGACCTTGGGAAAACCTCTTCACCGCTCTGAGCCTGGGAAATGGGGACACAACCCTCCATGAAATGGGTGGTCCCAGGTTGGATCCTGGGTGAGGGGACCCTGCCTGAAGGGCAAGACTGTGACAATTTTTTTTTTCTTTTGGACAGGCAGAGTGGACAGTGAGAGAGAGAGACAGAGAGAAAGCTTTTCCTTTACCGTTGGTTCACCCTCCAATGGCTGGCATACCGCACCGATCTGCAGCCAGGAGCCAGGTGCTTCTCCTGGTCTCCCATGCGGGAGCAGGGCCCAAGGACCTGGACCATCCTCCACTGCACTCCCCGGCCACAGCAGAGAGCTGGACTGGAAGAGGACAACCAGGACAGAATCCGGTGCCCCGACCGGGACTAGAACCTGGTGTGCTGGCGCCGCAGGCGGAGAATTAGCCTATTGAGCCACGGCGCCGGCAAGACTGTGACAATTTTAACAGCAGCACACAGCACAGCTGCAAATCCAGGACGTGAGAACCACCCTGAAGGTCGGTCAGGAGAGCCCTCGCCCTTAGGATACACCAGCTGAGCTGTGTGGGGTAAAGAGACAGGAGGGCTACAGCTGACTCCCGCGTGACGCGGGCAAAGACTGTCCCTTCAGCCGCCCTGTCTGTGGCTTCCGCGGATTGGATTCCACCAATAGTGGATCAAAAATGTTGCGACTGTACTGAACGTGTATTTTCCTGGTTATTATAAACAATACAGTATAAACACTACACACCACCATATAGCAAGGATTCTGTAGCATTTACAGTGTCAGGTACTACAGGTAATCTAGAGATGACTTAAAGGAATCGGGAGGGAGGGGGCAGGTTACGCGCAAACACTGCGTCATTTTGACAAAAGACTCGAGCAGCCACGGGAGGTCCCGGATCAAGGCCTGGACACGGATGGACGACTGCAGACATGGAGAAGGAAACAATAAAGCAACCAAGGCCAAGTGTTAACAAGGTGGCCCTGGGTGTGGAGGGCAAGGGAGATCTTTGTGCAACCCGTACAACTTTTCAGAGAGTTTGAAATAACTTCGAGATAAAAGCTTAAGCTCTCGGGACCGGCCCTGTGGCGGAGCAGGTAATGCCACCACCTGCAGTGCTGGCATCCCAAATGGGCAACGGTTCAAGTCCAGGCTGTTCCACTACTGATCCAGCTCTCTGCTATGGCCTGGGAAACCCATGGAAGATGGCCCAAGCGCTTGGGCCCCTGCACTCGCATGGGAGACCCGGAAGAAGGTCCTGGCTCCTGGTTTTGGATCGGCACAGCTCCGGCCATTGTGGCCATCTGAGGAGTGAACCAGCGGATGGAAGACCTCTCTCTGCCTCTGCCTCTCTGTAACTCTGCCTTTCAAATAAATAAATCTTATTTAAAAAAAAAAAAAAAAAAAAAGCTTAGGATCTCTGGCTGTCTCTAGGGCCTGGGGAACCCTGGTGAGAGGAAGAGTCTTTGGAGGCCCAGCCCGTGCAGCGGAGCGTGAACCATGAATGAACTCCCGTCGGGTGATGCGTGGGTCAGGCGTCTGCTGCAGCTGTCAAGAGGCCGCGCGAGACGCCCACCTCCACCGTCCCAGTGCCTGGTGTGAGGCCTGCTATTCCACTTCCCAGCCAACTTCCCGCTAATGCACACCCTGGGGACAGCAGGTGACAACTCAAGTACTTGGGTCCCTGCCACCGTGTGAGAGTCCCAGATTGAGTTGAACTCCTGGCTTAAACCTGGCCCAGCCCTGGCTGTCTGTGGGCATCTGGGGAGTGAACCATCACGTGGAAGGACTCTGTCTCATTTTCTGCCTTTCAAATACAATGAAAACACACACACAACTTGATAGAAGACGATAACCACGGTAAAAGCAGTGTTAATGCAGTGGGCTGTGTGCCAGTCTTTCACCAGTGGCTGGCGGAAGGCGGGGAGGGGGCTCCCCCAGCTGACAGGGATAGGGAGAGGTGAGCGCCCTTCACCCCGGCCCGGCTGCTCTTGGCTCGTCCCTGCGGCTCAGATCCTTCTGTCCATGTCCTGCCTGATGCTGGAGCCGTGGGTGGGCAGCCTGGGCAGGGGTCAGCAAGGACCTTGCTACTCACCCACGTAGTGTCCTCTGAGATAGCCCTCACAGTCGCAGGTCTCTGGCAACCAAACAGAGGGAGGGGGGCCAGTGAGTGGCGCTGGACCCACACCCTGTCAGAGGGGCCCAGTCTCCGGCTGGCCAGGCACCCCGGCGTGGAGCCTCGGGGCAAGCTCAGAAACCCATGTCTTGGCCACCCTAGGAGAACGAACCCTTCCTCTCCGCCCACTTGTCCACACTCAGGCCCCTCGCAGCCTTTCCAGGCCCTGGTGGGGGCTCTGGGCCACTCTCCCAGCCCTGAACCAGGATCCACTCTGCCTGCCCCAACCCCCAGGCTCCTGGTCACACAGTCAGCCTAGCTGAGCCAAGCGGTGGGCTTGCAGGGTGTGCAGGCAGGGGCCCTGAGGCCTGAGCCCTGTCCCCACCAGCTCTGCACGCTTCAAGGTATGAGCCAGGCCCGCTGCAGCCCCGGGTGGATGTGCAAAAGCTGGGGCGACCGTGGGGCGGGGGCACAGCCCCCAGTGGGGGATGGAAGACGAGCCCCTCCAGCCCAGGACATGCCATAGAAACAGGCCCCTGCCCATGTGCACAGGGGACGAACACCGGCCTACCTTTGTCACAAGGCTGGTCATCTGCGGTGTGCACAAAAGACAGACGGAGTGGCATTAGCACAGTATCGGGAAGCCCTGCGGCTGAGAGGCAGCCGCGGCCTCGGGGCCCCAAGGAGCCTCCATCTGTCCCCTCTCTTCCTCCCCCAAAGCTGTGATCTGCGCTGCTCTAATCAGTCTTCCTGTGCACATCTCATTAGTGGCCCACAGAGAGCCAGCTCATCTCTGCGGGGGGCGGCGTCAAGGCCGTTCCTTCCAACTGGACAGTGAGCCTGGAAAGGCGCCCTTGGCAATGGCCACTGAAGCTGCTCCCTGCATGGCCCAGCAGGGAGAATCCGCCCTGCTCTCCCTTGCCTGGGGTTCTGCAAATGCCAGAGGGTGGACGGGGCAGAGCAGAGCAGCTGCCAGCTACACTCTGGTCTCTGTGCCTGTTCGGGTCTCACCTGCACCAGAGGGGCCAGGCCCTGGCAGCCCGGCCTCGGAGCTAGGGCCTTAGACAGCGGGCCTGTGAGACCCCAGCCCAGCTCCCCTCGCTGGACTTCGCCCGACTCTGCCCATCTTGGAAAAGGAGATGCCCGACTGCACCTCCATCCCAGGGTGGTCGTGGCAATGTCAAGAAGGTAAAGGGATAAAGGTGAAGTGCCACACGGGGCAGACGAAACACCGGCCTCTCAGGGATGCCCCAGTTTCAAGCAAACAAGGAATTTCTTGGTATAAGTATATCCCGAACACTGCATGGGATATACTTATGCTAAAAAACAAATCTATCTGACATGCAAATGGAACTGGGTCTCCTTTGTAGGCACCTGAAGGCACAGGATCACTCAGGCCTGCTCCCCTCCCCTCCCTCCCAACGTCAATGGCTCCATTTTCAGAGTCAGACAGAGCCACTGGGAATCTGATGAAAGCCATGGACCCCTCCCAAACACACACCCCCCACTTGGGGAGAGGCGTTACTATATGCCTCTGTGGCCCCCAAATACTGAAGAGCCTCCGCAGGCAGCAACTGCCCCCTGCCCACCCACCCCCACGTCCCCTCCTCCCGCCAGCCCCGACACCAGTCCCCAGGTCCTAGCCCCGGCCCCTCCCTGCCAATCTACTCACAGGGGGGCTTCTTGAGGCTCTGGGGGCTCGGCAGGGTGCCCGCGGCCCTCCGGTAGCTCAGTCGTCTAGGGAGAGACAAAGGGTCACCCGGGCTCTGGGTCAGAGAAGCAGCTGCAGGGAACCTTCCAGGCCAAGGCCCGGGGCCACTAAGGGCAGAAACCGGCGCGGCAGGCTCCGGCGCAGGGGCCACTTTCCCCGGGGCCTTGCTAGTCTCTTGCCCTTGGAAAGGCCTGCACAGCTCGGGACAGCTGCACATGGGGACCCAGGCCCAAATTCTGTATCCAACACTTGGAGGAAATCCCGGGAAGCAAATAAATGTTGCTGTTTAGAGTGGCGAGACCTGCTCCTCCTCGTCTGCAGTTTTGCACCCTCTAAGCGCCTCTGCATCCAAAGTCTCCACCCAGGGATCTAACCAGCCTCAGGTCGCAAACACGGGTTGAAAAGACAAGTGCACACGCAGAGACTTTCCCACCTCATCGTTATTCCCTAAATGGCACAGAGTAACCGTGTTCAGGGCACTCGGATTGCATTAGGTATTACAAGTGACCCAGAGATGGTTTGAAGTGTGTCAGGATGGGTAGAGATTATAGGCAAACACCCAGCATTTCATATAACAGATGGACTTCAGCACCTGAGGGTTTTAGGATCTGCCAGGGGTCCTGGAACCAATCCCCCAAAGACACCAAGGGACAACCGCCTAAACTAATAACGAAAAGTCCACGAATGTAGTTAAGTCTCAAACAGTCATCAGCACCCATCACAGGACAGGAAGAACTAGCACAGCCTAACTGGTACTTACCGCAAGGAGCAACACTTAGCAGGCGCCCCTATTGGGGTTGGTACCCAAGCCTCTGGCCACCGCAGGGCCACCCCAGGACGGCACGCCCCAGACCCACCTCTCCTGGAACTGCTTGGAGGGGATGAGGCCGGCTCGAAGGTTGGCGTCCCCGACACGCTTGGCCTGCCACCACGTGGGGTCGTCCTGGCTCACCACCTCCAGGACCTGCCTGCGCTGGAAGGGCAGGCCTGCCTCCTGGCACGGGATGGCCCGGTCCTCCCGAGGGTTGTAGTGGAAGAGGGCCCGCATGAACACCTGCGTGGGAAGGGCTCTGGTGAGGCGGCAGTGCAGCCACGTGACAATGGCCAGTCACAGGCAGGAAGAACAAGCAGCCTTGAGAAGAGGAAGCTCATCAGAAACACAGTGCACCTGCTTTCTTATTGTTCTTCCGCCTTCTTAGCTATGATAGAAAATCCAACAGGAATTGGAAAACTGGGACCAGAGTCCTGGTGCAGTGAGTGGGCTAAGCCGATGCCTGAGATGCCGGCATCCCAGATCTGAGCGCCAGTCTGAGTCCTGCCTACTGTGCTTCTGGTCCAGGTTCCTGCTAATGTGCGCCCTGGGAAGGCTGCACGTGACGGCTCAAGTACGTGGGTCCCTGCCACCCAGGTGGAAGACCTGGATGGAGTTCCAGGTCCTGGCATTGACCTGCCCCAGATCTGGCCATTACAGCCACTTGAGGAGTGAACCCGCAGATGGAAGATCAGTCAATCTCTCTCTCTCTCTCTCTCTCTCTCTCTCTCTCTCTCTCTCTCTCTCTGTTTCCCTCCCTCTTCCCTTCTTGCTCTTTCAAATAAATGAATGAATAAATCTTTAATAAAAAAGAATCGGAAAATCGAGGCATGCCTTTGACAGAGAATTCAGTCAGCGCCTGGGGACACCCACCTCCCCCATCAGAGAGCCAGGTTCAAGTCCCAGCCGCTCTGCTTCTGCTCAGTGCCCGGCCAATCCTGGGAAGCAGCAGGTGATGACGAAAACTACTCGGGTCCCACCACCCACGCAGGAGACCTGGATGGGCTTCGGCCTGGCCAGCTCCTGGCTACTGCAGGGAATGTGGGGAGAGACCCAGAGGATGGAAGACCTTGTCTTTCCAATAAAATTAAAATAAAAAAAAAAATGGAATGTTAACAGATAGGCCCATGACTCAATCTTTTACTTTTTTTTTTTTTTTTAGATTTTATTAATTTGAAAGAGTACAGAGAGAGAGGGAGAGAAAGGCAAAGAGGTCTTCCATCCACTGGTTCACTCCCCAGATGGCTACAATGGCCGGGGCTGGGCCAGGCTGAAGCCAGGAGCCAGGAGCTTCATCTGCATCTCCCATGTGGGTTCAGAGGTCCAAGCACTTGGGCCATCTAGTGCTGCTTTCCCAGGTGCATTAGCAGGGAGCTGGGTCAGAGGTGGAGCAGCCAGGTCTCAAACTGATGCCCATATGAGATGCTGGCATCGCAGGCGGAGGCTTAACCCACCAAGCCACACGCTGGCCCCTGAATCTCACTTTTTTTTTTGACAGGCAAAGTTAGACAGTGAGAGAGAGAGACAGAGAGAAAAGGTCTTCCTTCCGTTGGTTCACCCCCCAAATGGCTGCTACAGCTGGCGCACTGCGCTGATCAGAAGGCAGGAGCCAGGTGCTTCTCCTGGTCTCCCATGGGATGCAGGGCCCAGGCACTTGGGCCATCCTCCACTGCACTCCCGGGTCACAGCAGAGAGCTGGCCTGGAAGAGGGGCAACTGGGACAGAATCCGGCACCCCAAATGGGACTAGAACTCGGGGTGCCAGCGCCGCAGATGAAGGATTAGCCAAGTGAGCCGCGGAGCCGGCCGAATCTCACTTTTCAACCTAAATATTTCCTCATCTACCTGGTCTGCTACCCTCCTGACAGCCTCTTAACTACACAAAGCAACAACAGATCATGGGCACCAAAGGCAAAAGCAAGCACAACCAGTAACTCAAATGCTCCTTCGGATTTGCACGTGCGCCTAATGAGGACAGCAGGCATCTGTCAAACAAGGAATCCAGATGCTGCGGGAAGACACCAATCCACAAAGCACAGGTCCTGAGTCCCCAGCTTCACTTGACACTAAAGCTGCATCCCAGCCCCTCTGCTCCGACTCACCTTTCACCCTGGAGCCCACTCTGGAGCAGACAGTGAGGACACGGCGATGTCCCTCTCGTGTCTGACTCAGCGGCATGGGTTGATTTTATTTCTACTTCCAGACCATCAGAGCCCAGTTGCTTCCGTGGCAAATGGTGGGTGGGACAGAGCTATTTGGCATCTGTGTTCAAACTGTCTGCCTGTCTGTGCCAACGGAAAAGATTCTAGACAAGAATAAGAGTGGCGTGAGGACAGACACCCTTACCCAGCCCAGCTGTCACCAGGGTCCTGGGCACTTAGGAAAGTGTCTTCCTAACTGGCCAGCCAGCTCACGCATGAGATCAGGAAAAAAATAGCGAGGAGGGGTGGCCTGAGGGACAGCTGCCCATCGTGTCCTCCAGGAAAGCCAGGCTCTCCTGTGCCACGTCAGAGCCTCTGCCAGCCTACCCGGTGCCTCGTTCACCTGCAAAGGAAGAACCACCTTCCACCTGGTCAGAGCCGGTGGACCAGTGCCTGGGGCTTCAAAAGGGTGCAAATTAGCAACAGCCATATAAAAATTAGTTCTTCCCTTGTTGTAAAAAAGCTGTCATTGCCGGCGCTGTGGCATAGTGGGTAAGGCCACTGCCTGCAGTGTGACTTCCCATATGGGCGCCGGTTCAAGTCCTGGCTGCTCCTCTTCTGATCAGCTCTTTACCTATGGTCTGGGAAAGCAGCAGAAGATGGCCAAGTCCTGGGGGCCCTGTACCCGTGTGGGAGACCTGGAAGAAGCTCTTGGCTTTTAATCAAATTGGCCATTTGGGCAGTGAACCAGTGAATAGAAGACATCTCTTTCCCCCCCACCCCACCCTGCCTCTGTCTCTCTGTAACTCTGCCTTTCCAATAAATCTTTAAAAAAATAAAATAAAAGCTGTCATTGAAGACATCACCCTTTATTAATCTTCATCCATGCAAGGATTTATTGGCATCTCCTCTGTGCCAGATGCTGCCGGTCCCTTCTTTCCTGCACTGAGTATTGGGGGTGGGGGTGGAGGAGACTTGGCCTGCTCCCTCCATCCACCAATGGAAAGCAAGAAATTCACTGGGGGCCAGTGCTGTGGTGCAGCAGGTTAAAGCCCCTGCCTGCAGTGTCGGCATCCCATATGGATGCTGGTTCAAGTCCCAGCTGCTCCATTTCCTATCCAGCTCCCTGCTAATGGCCCGGGAAAGCAGTAGAAGATGGCCCAAGTACTTGGGCCCCTGCACCCACGTGGGAGACCTGAAAGAAGCTCCTGGTGCCTGGATTCGGATTGGCTCAGCTCTAGCAGTTGTGGCTATTTGGGGAGTGAATCAGCAGATGGAAGACCTTTCTCTCAGTCTCTACCTCTCTCTTTAACTCTTTCAAATAAAGTAAATCTTAAAAAAAAAAAAATTCACGGATCCAATGTTGTGGCACAGCGGATTAAGTGGCCATGCAATATGCCAGCATCCCATGTGAGCACTGGTTCAAGTCCCAGCAGCTCCACTTCTGATCAAGCTCCCTGCTAATGTGCCTTGGAAGGCTGTGGAGATGGCTGAAGTGCTGAGGCCCCTGCATCCGTGTGGGTGACCCAGTGGAATTCCAGGCTCCTGGCTGTGTGTGCTGCCCCTGCCCCCAGGGCTGGACCATGTCCACGCACCCCAGACTGACTTCCAAGAGCCAGCACTGCACGGCTTTGCCTAAGCACCTGCTCTCTGCCACCCTAACCCAGCAGGGAGGCCTTGCCAGCAATGAGCCCAGGGCAGCCCGGCAGGGGCTGGTGCACAGAACTCAGCATCTTGGGCTCAGGGGTGGGATTTTGGAGGCACGTGTTCTACGGGGTTCCCGAGTTCTTTAGCAAGCCAAGCCCAGGTGCCCACAGTGCCAACCGGCTTCACGGCACAGCCTTGGTCACATGGCTGCCTGCCCTTTCCCTCTCCTATACCGGGACTTTGGGGTCACCTCCCAAAGAAACCATTTTCATCCAAATCCTTATCTTCAGTTGGCTTCTAAGAGACCCGAAACTAAGCCAAGGTTGTGCCAAACCCCCAGCAAAACCGGCAAGTCCACCTGGAGGACAGACTGGACCCTCCCCTGGGCCCCACATCACCTCTTCTCACTGTACCCTAATCCATGCCCTTCTCCACGACACCTTGGAGCCCCCGCACCTGCAGACACCGACACCCACCCCACCCGCCCCAGGCCCCACTGCCAGCTCTGTGACTGCGTGCCCGTGCCCGTGGGGTCTGTAGCTCTGAAGAATCCTCCCCAAACCACAGCCAGGAAACACCACTCCCCACACCCTGCCCCTGTACAAGGAACTCTGCAGACCACCACGGCCACCCCACCCGGGGCAGCTGGCAGGGCGCCAGGCACAGAGTGGGTGCCCACAAGAGGGAGGCCAGCAAATAACTCAGTCACCGGCAGTTTCTCCCCTGCTCCAGGGTCCAGCACGCCTGATGCCTTCTCTCCTCCTCTCCGTGGCCCTGAGTTCCTATTCCAGCTAGAACACCCGTGTCTTTTATTAGCAAGCTACATCAACTGCTGTTCAGAAAGAGGCAGGGTACAAACAAATGAATCATTTTGCCCCTCCAATGAAGCTACTGGCCACAGATGCTGTGCTCCCAAATGGCTGGCCCGGGGGCTGCGCTGTGGCACAGGGGGCTAAGCCACCACCTACGACACCACCATCCCAAACAAGTGCAGGTTTGAGCCCCTGCTGCTGCTCCATTTCCAATCCAGCTCTCTGCCATGGCCTGGGACAGCAGCAGCAGATGGCCCAAGCACTTGGGTCCCTGCATCCACATGGGAGATTGGATGGAGCTCCTGGCTCCTGGCTTCAGCCTGGCCCAGACCTGGCCATTGTGGCCATTTGGGGAGTGAACCAGAAGATGGGGACCCAGTGTCCCGGCCCACCAGCAAGTGCCCCTCCGGAGCCGAGGGCGCCCACCTGGCCGTACCTTGCTCTCCTTGAAGCGATCCTCCTCCTGCGTGGCTGGGATGATTTTGAGGGTGATGGATCCCTGGGACTGGGCCTGCGAAAAGAGAGAACAGAGACCGTTCACCTTCTCGGTCTGACTCTCCACGTGTTCAAGGCTTACTACTGAGGTCTAAAAACTAACATTCAGGGGCCCGAGTGTGATACAGTGGGTTATGCCACTGCCTGTAACTCCAGCATCCCACATCTGAGCACAGGTTCAAATCCCAGCTGCTCCACTTCCAATCCAGCTTCCTGCTAATGGGCCAGCAGATGACGGCCCATATACTTAGGTCCCTGCCACCCACCTGGGACACCCAGATGGAGTCCTGGCTCCTGGCTTTGGCCTGACCCACCTCAGGCCACTGCAGTCATTTGGGGAGTGAACCAGTGGATGTCTCTCCTTCCTTCACTCTATCCCTCCCTTTGTCTTCCTCTCTCTCACTCTGCCTGTCACATAGATAAATAAACCTTGAAAAATTTTAACAGAAAATGGAATTAGGGGCTGTCACTGTGGCACAGTGGGTTAAAGCCATGGTCTGCAGCACTGGCATTCCATATGGGCGCTGGTTCAAGTCCCGGATGCTCCATGTCTGATCCAGCTCTCTGCTAATGTCCTGGAAAAGCAGCAGAAGATGGCTCAAGTGCTTGGGCCCCTGCACCCTTGCAGGAGACCCAGAAGAAGCTCCTGGCTCCTGGCTTCATCTTGGCCCTGCCCTGGCCATTGCAGCCATTTGGGGAGTGAACCAGCAGATGGAAGATCTCCCTCTGTAACTCTACCTTTCAAATAAAGACAATAAATCTTTTTAAAAATTTAGAAAGAAACATGGAATTAAAAGTTTAACAAACAAACAGAAAGTGATGTTCCAAATACAGCCTCACTCCTAGAGCCCACCCTTGCAGAGGGCGCCCCGAATAAACCAGCAATGCAAACCCCAGAGAGCAAGCGTGTGCAGGCCCTGGGACAGAGCGACAGCAGAGTTTAAACACAGCCCCAGGACACGGCATGCGCGGGGCCTCCTGACCTCGGGCCCTAAAATCTCCTCCTGTGGCTTTTCTCCAGGGTCCCCTTCATGGTCCTCTTTCTCGCTGGATTTGGGGCCGCCCCCCAGCTAGCACTTTCCTCTGCGCATCCATCTTCCTGTGGCTCTTCCACCCCAGGCCACTCACATCTTTTGAGAAGGCCCCCTTCCCTCCACATGACAGGGACCCTGCCCCAGGGCCAGGGACCTCGTGAAGGCGGCCGTCAGACCAGGGGGTTCAGCCCCTCGGGGGCCTCCATCCCCGCATGGCTGCCCAGAAGGCCGGATCGCTGCTCAGGAGCATAGGAGGTAGGGCCAGAGCCGGGGAAGGAGATGAAGGGCCGAGCTGTGGCTGGGGGCTCTGCCGCGGGGCCTGCAGGGTGGCCTCCTCCTTCTGGACTTTTCTGTCTCTGCCCCCGGACCACCAGAACTTAGCAGAAGCACCAGGCTGCTGGGGACAAAGCTGTGATGGGGGCTCTTCCCCACTGTGGCTTTGACTGGCAGCCCTCGTGCTGCACCCCCAGCCCAGGCCCCCGAGCGCGGGAAGCGCCTCGTCTTTTCCACGTGCCTGCACCCTCCTGAAAGCCACGAGTCCTTTCCCTACCTCACAGGGAAAGAAACAAGCTCAGATGATTTGATGACTTGTCCGAGGCTGCGCAGTGAGAAAGGGGCAGAGCCAGGATTCAAACCCAGGCCCCAGCAGGGTCAGAAAGGGAGCCAGGGGCAGGGGCATGGGTGGCTGTGCTGAGAGAGGTGGTGGCCAGGAAGCTCTGTCCTGCTGCCCTCTCCCACCACCTTGAGTACTCTGTAAGGCTACTGGGCCTGCCGCCTCCGCATGGACACAGCCAGGCCAGGCCGGAAGCTGCCTGGCTCTGGGAGACCTGCTCGGGGGCTCTGGAGACGCCCACCCCATCCCCAGGAGCGCAGCACCCACCAGGATCTGGCTGATCTCGTCCGGCCTCTTGTGCAGGACGGCGATCCCGTTCACTTCCCGGAGCTCGTCTCCAACGTGCACCAAGCCTGGCAGACACAGGAAGCAGAAGCAGGCCTCAGCGCAGGTGCTCACAGCTTAGGGCACCACCAGCGTCTGTCTGAGGCTCCCACGGCCAGGCAGACACAGGGTTAAAAGATGGGTGGGGACTGGCACTGTGGAGCAGCGGGTTAAGCCACAGCCTGCAGCACTAGCATCCCATATGGGCACTGATTTGAATCCTGGCTGCTCCACTTCTGATCCAGCTCCCTGCTAATGCAACTGGGAAAGCAGTGGAGGATGGCTCATGTCCTTGGGCCCCTGCACCCATGCGGGAGACCCAGAAGAAGCTCCTGGCTCCTGGCTTCAGAGTGGCCTAGCCTTGGCCATTGTGGCCATCTGGGGAGTGAACCAGCAGGTGGAAGATCTCTCGGTCTCTGTCTCTCCCTCTAACTTTGCCTTTCAAATAAATAAATAAATCTGAAAAAAAAAAAAAAAAAACACAAAAACACAAAAACAGGTGGGTGTGAGGGGACGGCCTGAGCCCTGTGTGCTGGGTACCTCGCCCAACAGCGGAGTCTCACCCCCACCAGCAGGGACAGCCCTAGTTGACAAGCTGGAAGCTGAGACCCAGGCAGACAAAGCAGCTTGCCCAAGGTCACCAAGCTACAAAATGATGGAGCCCATATTCAAACCCATTCCTTTGAGATAGGAAGTCTATGTCTTTGCCCTGTAAACTCTGCTTTGTTTTTTTAAAGATTTATTTATTTATTTGAAAGTCAGAGTTACACAGAGCAAGAAGGAGAGACAGAAAGAGAGAGAGAAGTCCTCCATCCCCTGGTTCACTCCCCAATTGGCCTCAACGGCCAGAGCCCCACCAGTCTGAAGCCAGGAGCCAGGAGCTTCTTCCAGATCTCTTATGTGGGTGCAGGAGCCCAAGGACTTGGGCCATCCTCCACTGCTTTCCCAGGCCATAGCAGAGGGCTGGATTGGAAGTGGAGCAGCCGGGACTCAAACTGGTGCCTATATGGGATGCCGGTGTTGCAGGCAGTGGCTTTACCAGCTATGCCACAGCGCTGGCCCCACCTCTGCTCCTTTAACAACACAATTAACTCCTCACCTTGCTGGGTTTACAGGCACACTCAGGCCAGCCCTCTCAAATCTCCACTGAGAAATCTAAAGGTACCAGCAAGGGGTCAGTGCTGTGGCGCAGCAGGTAAGGCCACCACCTGCTATGCGCATCCCATGTGGGCACTGGTTCAAGTCCCAGCTGCTCCACTTCCAATCCAGCTCCCTGCTAACGTGCCTGGGAAAGCAATGGAGGAGGGCCCAAGTGCTTGGGCTCCTGATCCCACGTGGGAAACCTGGATGACGCTCCAGGCTCCTGGCTTTGGCCTGGCCCAGTCCTGGCCATTTTGGTCATTTGAGGAATGAACCAGTGGATGAAAAAAAGGAGAAAGGAAAGGGGGCTGGTGTTGTGGCAGGTTAAGATTCCGCCTGTGACACTGGCATCCCATATAGGTGCCAGTTCAAGTCCCAGCTGGTCCACTTCTAACCCAGCTCCCTGCTAACGCACCTGGGAAAGCAGCAGAAGACAGCCCAAGTGCTTGGGGCCCTGGCACCCACGTGGGAGACCCAGATGGCGTTTCAGGCTCCTGGCTTTGCCCTGGCCCAGCCCTAGCCATTGTGGCCATTTGGAGAGAAAACCAGTGGATGGAAGATTGCTCTGTGTGTATGTCTCTGACTCTCTGTAACTCTGGCTTTCAAATAAAATAAATCTTTAAAAAAAAAAAAAAAGGCACCAGTAAGGACACCACCAGGAGCTACAGAGGCCTGACAGCCCCAGCATTAACCCTGGCGGCTCCGCAGCCCCAGTCCCGCCTGCTACTCCTGGGGCCCTGGGCGACAGCAGCTGCTGAGCACGGCCTGGGAAGGGTCACAGTCCAACTCCCAGGCCCCCCCGGCCTGCAGGGTCACAGCCTGCACTTGACCCAGGTGCCCGCCCAGGGGGCCCCTGCGCTCCTTAACATTCGGGAAGCACTGCTTGAGGACCCCCACGCCCAGGGCCCCCGACTGGGAGGGGATCAGCCTCCTGCATGGGCAGCTCTGCCTCCCGGCCTCGCAGCCCTTCCACTCCAGTGCCCCACAGCCTGTTTTCCACGCAGATGAATCTGGGACACACACAGCCTCCCTTTGGTATGAGGAGCATGAGAAAGCAAGTCGGGGTGGGGGGGACCATCCTCCCCTAGTTAGGAACCCCCTTACCAAACCCACACTCTATGCTTAATTTTCATTGTCCTCGAGCTAAGCCAATGTGCCCCAAAGCACTCCATGCCCCTGGGCTTTCCGTAACAATCCCCACTGAGCTCGGGCAGGAGACCAGAACTCCAGTCCCAGTCCCAGAAAGCAAAGCGCATCCCAGTGAGGTGCGAGGCTGGGCCACCACGGCGACGGCCCTGCCCCAGCCAGGCCGACAGCACCTGGCCCGCACTCACCGCTCCGGTCGGCTGCGCCCCCTCGCATGATCCTGGCCACCACAACAGCCCCCGAGTGCTCGTCCCGCCGGATGGTGGCACCCTGCATTAGACGCGGAACGGGCAGGCTCCTGAGAGGCAGCCCCAGAGTCACCCTGACTCTGCCACTGCCCCTCCCCCTTCCGCCTGCCACCCCAGAGGGCGGACCGGTGGGGACCCTCTAAAAAGCAACACCTCGGCTTAGCACAGTCCCACGGCACAGCCTAAAAAAGCACAACTGCCCTGCGACATTGAAGACCCTCAAGGTCACTGGGAGGGAAGGTGGGCGCTTTCTGAGAAGCCACAGCCAGCTCGCCCCGACAGACCCCGGCACCCTCACCACTTGCCAAGACATTCAATATCGAGGACAGGAGCCAGCTGACTCTCAACCCACCACTAACCAGTCACGGGGTCCCTGGGACCAGCCAGAGCCCCAGGAGCCCCGCAGAGACAACGTCTAGGAGGAGGAAGGCCCTGATGAGCCCTCCATGTCCGCCCCAGGCAGCAGGGAGGCCAAGAACTAAGCCAGGGCTTCGAACCCAGCTCCACCACTGACCAGCGCCACGCGGCCCGAGCAAGGAAGCCCCTTGTCCGCTCTGAGCCTGTTCCCTCTGCGTTAGGGGCAGCACTGGACTCACAAGGTCGCGACACGATAACATCAGGTTAACTTGAGCGCTCAACAAATGAGCCGTTTATGTCTGCTAGAACGGCCAACGTGTTTGCGCAGTTGTCCACTCCACTCGTGTCACCTCTCTGAAGCTCATCAGACAAAGGCTGCAGGCAGGACAGGCCACCTGCTGAGAGCCCCAGCTTGTCCCCAGAATCTCTGGGCATCACTCACTCGTCTCTGAGCGCCAGCCCTCGCCCGCTTGCAGAACCCACGGCTGACTGCCCCCTTTGGCAGGTGGAACAGGGGCAGAGGAACCCGGCCTGTTTGCAAAGTCATCAGAGGTCGCTTAGTGAGAGCCGCGTGTAGAGAATGCCAGCTGTGGGACTGTCCAGGGCCAGGACGCCACCTCTCTCTCCATCTAATAAACAAGGCCGCCCCTGTGCGCAGGCAGTCCATGCTGACCCGGGGCTGCGGCGGACATCAGAGCGGGGGTCAGCAAACTTTCTCTGGGTGGGGCTCTGCAGCCACGTTCCCCATCAGCACCGCTCTCCTCTGCTCTGAGAGCGTGAAGGCTGCTACAGACGACGCACAAGTGAGCAGGTGAGGCCGAGCATCAATCACACGTGATATCAACCCGCCATGGGCTGGATTCGGGACTCGGCCGAGGCAGCCGTGATTATCAGATGCTACCTCGTACAGCTGTGCAGGTTACTGACTGCACAAAGCGGCTTGGCCACAGTTGAGGGGTCCGTATCTAGCCAGGGAAAGGGAAAGGCCCGAGGGGCCAGCACATGCTCTGAGGCCTTTAGGAGGCCGCCGTCCTGGTCCTCGGGGCGGGGACCACGTACCAGGGGCTCTTTGTTCTTCACCAGGCGCACGATCTTCACGGACTCCTCCTCAAACTCCTCGTCCATGCTCTCGGGCAGAGGCGGCAGGACAGGGTCGAAGTTCTTCTGGGCCACGGTGTCATGGACCATGAGCACGGCCTGCCAGGACAGCACAAGGAAGCAGGGCTGGCCCCACAGCTCAGGGGGCCGGGCAGGGGCCTGGGGGGCCCAGGCCTCTCACTAAGACACGGCCACCCCGGACGCCAGTGCCGAGGAGCCCCCGCTCAGCAGCTGCCTTCCTCAGCCTCAGTGCACTGGCACTCCCGCCCGCCCCCAGCCGGGGAGACACGAGCTACGTGGGGTGGGCGGGCAGGCGGGTGACTACCCTGAGGTGGGGGGTGGACAGCAGCTGCAGCAGCTCCCTCTCATCGCTGTGCACAGAGGCGGCCTGCAGCTCCTCCATCACCTGCAGGGAAAGGAGACAACGCCCGGGCAGCTGGGAGGAACTCACTAAGCCCCCCGGGTACCACCCACGCTGTGTGCACCTGCTGACCACCTGGCTTTAGTGCGTCCTACAGAGGGCTTTGAAAAGTTTGTGGAAATGGGTCTTAGGAAAACATGCATGGGTTTCAACTCTTTTTGACCAAAGAACTCTTTGCTAACCACTCTCCACAAACTTTGTGAAATACCCGCATCTCGCTTTGCCATTTCACAGGTACAAATCCTGAGGCCGGGGAGACGAAATGTCCTGCCCAAGGTCACGGAGCGGGCGAGTGGCACAGCCAGGATCTGAACCTGGGCTTTTCTGGCCAGACTTCCGCACCCTTACCACCGCGCTGCGCCACAGAGGAGGAAGCCGGGTCTCAGATGGGTTCGGGCGCCTCGTGGGAGGTCACAGAGGCCACAGCGAGGGCAGTGCCGAGCCTGGGAGCCTGGCTCTCAGGCACGCAGCACTGGAGAGGGACGCGGGGGTCTGCGGCACGGGCTGCTCCCCTCCCTCCCTCCCTGGGGTCAGTGCATCTGCTCAGGAGTTGATCTCAGTGAGCAGCCAGGACGGCTCCTCCGCACCATGCAGCAGGCAAGCACGCCTTTGAAAAACTGAGCCGAGCAGGCACTTGGCCCAGCAGCAGAGATGCCCTTGCCCATACAGGAGGGCCTGGGCTCGAGTCCCAGCTGGGCTCCCGACTCCGGGAGGCAGTAGTGAAGGCTCCAATAATTGGGCTTCTGCCGCCCACGCGGGAGACCTGGACTGAGCTCTCGGCTCCTGGCTTCAGGCCGGCCCAGTCCTAGCTAGGGTGGGCATTTGGGGGATGAATCAGCAGATGGGAGCTTGCTCTCTCCTTGTTTGTCTCTCAAACAAACAGAAATTTTAAAACACAGGCAGAATGGAAAGCCGGAACCAGTAACGGGGACGCACTGTGAGTCCCCGCCCTTGAGGGCTGCAGGTGGGCACCCAGAAGGCAACGGGCGCGGGCGGCCGATCCTGGTCGCCAGCTCGCAGAACAGATGGGCGAGTGCTGACCCAATCCCGCACCCTCGCTCACAGCCCAGGAGGCAGACTTTGGCAAGAACACACAGGAGGTGGGTGTTACCCTGGCCCGGTCCATGGCTCCGGAGTTCATCTGTGCCTGCCAGAGGCCCAGGGGGGAGGAGGAGAAGGAGCTGCTCTTCACCCATTCCCAGCACCCACAGGTTTAGCAAGGGCGACAGGGTGAGACGAGCCCCTGCGGGGTGGGGAGTGGGGCTGCCTCCCCAGGGCTTACGTCCTCAGCCAGGGCCACAGCGCTGTGCAGGACTGGCGTTGGGCTCTGCCTCTCATAGTAGCGAAGCTTCTCATGGATCTGCAAAGACAGGCGAAGCCTAGTTTAAGCCGGATACCACCCGCCCCACTGGCTGGCCGCGGGGACCCCGGGGGCAGCCCAAGAGGAAGCCTCTGCCGGGGCTGCGCAGACCTGCAGAGCCCGCCTGTCAGGGAGGCGGGAGGATGTGGAGCCCACCTTCATCAAGTACCCCAGGCTCTTCTCGCTGAACACATCCCGCAGGAAGCCCATCTCCTCCTGCTGGTTGGAGTCGGGTCTGAGCTGAGACGTCAGCAGTGCCAGGGTTTCGTGCAAACCTGGAGAGGGGAGGAGCAACAGGGGAAAACCAACTCAAGGACCCCTTCCGGGCCCTGCGGACCTCCTCCCCCAAGGCCCCTCAGGCATGGCGGCAGCAGGTGCCAGGGCATCCTGCAGCAGCCTGGACTGTTTCTAGCCCTGGAGTGCTGGGCAGGCGCAGGTCTTCCAGGCTGTGCCGGGGGCGAGGGGGGCACTCACCGGAGTCCTCCGATAGCACTGGCATGCCTGGGCCGGTCAGCTCCGCAGCTCTCCCAGCACGGAGGACGGGGTGGGGGAGGGGCTGGCGGCAACAGAGATGACACACCTGCCAGTCTGTCTGTGACCAATTCGGGGATACAGAGAATGGGAACAAGCTCACTTTTTCTCAGAAAGGAAGGAAAGAAAACATCTTTGCTGAGTGCCCCCCCCCCCAAAGGCCAAGCATTGAGCTGCCTGATTGCACAGAAGGTTTTCATCAGCAGGAAGCCTGAGGAATGGATACTAACCATTCCCTCTTAAGAGTCAGAGGCTTGGAGGGGCTCCCTAAGTAACTCTGGAGTTAGTTAGGGAATCCATACTCCCCAGGAGTCTCCCAGGCTGGTGGTGGAGGCAGCCAGGGGCCCAGCCTGGCGGCAGGTGTACCCCTTGCCACTGTTACCCTGGGAGAGGCTGTGCCAGGCCCCGGCTGACACCTTCACCAACCACCTGGCTGGGCCTACAAGCCCCCTCCCCCCTCCCCAGCCCCAACCCAAAGGAGGCCTCCAGAAAAGAGCCTAGGGAGGAGGCGCGGGCCGTGAGAGTTGGGTTTCTACTATGCCACAGGAGGGACCCCAGGGCGCTCTGCAGCACGTGGACCCCAAAGTCCTCCTTCCACAGGGCGCAAGGAGAGTCATGATTCATTCATTCCGCAAACATGGAGCCAGCCCACTGCGCTGAGCAGCGGGGACGCGAAGATGCGTTAAGAATGGTGCCCGGCCCTCCCGCCTCAGAGCCCAGCTCCGCGGGACTCACCCTCCGGCTGCGTGCGGCTGCGAGCCCCCCGCTCCCCCGCGGCGGCCGAGCGCAGACTCCAGCTCGCTCTCAGAAGGGACCTGTGGGACCCAGGAGCGCGGCTGGGGGAGGGAGGCGACACCCGGCGGCCCGGAGAGCGGTCTCGGAGGGTGCGGAGCAGGGACGCACCGGGCAGGGATGCGGGGGGGAAGGCGGTGGGGGACGGAGGGGCGGGGGCTCCGTGGGCCGCGAGGCTGCGGGGCCCGCGAGGGGCGGTCTCGGCGCGCGCCCCGCGCCCGCCCGGCCTCTCCCGCCAGCTCCCGCTGCCTTGTCTCTTCCCTGCGCCGCCTCCTACCTCGTCGCGCGGGGATCCAGGCTCCGTGACCGGGAGCGGCGCGGACACCCCGAGCCTCAGCCGCCGCTGGCTCCGCCTTCCTGGGCCCCTCCCTGGCGCGGCCGCGCGGGGCGGGGGAGGCGGCGGCGGCGCAGGAGGAGGGGGAGGAGCGCAGGCGGCCCCGTGCCGGGCCCGGCGGCCCTGGGCCCGCAGGCGCTGCGCTAGCACCGCAGTCCCCTCCCTGTTCCCGCCTACCGAGCCTGGGCGCGGGGCCGGCCTCCCGCCAGCCCGCACCTCCCCAGCCCCGCGGGCCAAGGCCCGGACACCTGCTCCACGCACCGCTCGGTTTTGCCAGCACTTACTGAGCGCCCTCCAAGCGCCGGGCGCTGTGCCGGGGTCTGGAGTTCCAAGGCGAGCGAGGCAGAGATCCTGGTGTGGAGGGGCGGTCGGCCGCGAGGGCACCTCCCTGCAACAATGCAACGGGCTGGGAAGATTTATCGGTGCACCTGCCCCGGGGCGCGGATAGGCAGCGCGGAGAAGGCGGGCTCAGTTCTGCCCGCGTGTAGGGGGTGGGGCCGCGAGGAAAAGGCGACGAGTGTCCAAGGGCTTCTCCAGAGGGCCAGCTGTGAAATGACCGTGACCGTCCCCGATTTCTGTTGTGCTGTGTCTGTGCCCAGGCGCTCCTCAGAGCACACCCCGGAAGCCCCTGATACGGAGACCATCAGTATTTCAGCTCAGCAGGGATGGAGGGAGAAGGGGGCTGGGGGGAGGAGGTTTGGGGGCGAGGGCAGGTAGGTGCGCCCAGGCGAAGTCTGGGAGGAAACAAGCCGCGCCGGCCGGCCGGGAGAGGCGTCACACTCAGTCCTCAAAACTAGCTGCACCTGTGCTCCTCCGAGGCCCCCTGCCTGGGGCTGGACGGAGCTGAGACAGAGCACACTGGGTGGAGAAAGACAACGCCTGCGGTGCTGTTTGGGAAAGTCACCCAGAGCCTTCTGATAAAGATAGCTTTTAACAAGGGTACCAAGAAATGGTGTTGGAACAGAAACAATAGGAAAAGTTAGCAGAAATGTCAGAAAAATCACTAAGTGCCTACAATAATGTCCCTGCTTCTCACTGAGATGTGAAGAGAGCTAAGTGCTCCCGGTCTGACTCACCCTCTTAGTGGGGTCGGGGATGGGCCCATCCCCCCCGGAGTCGCTCCTGGTTCCCTTCGCTGCCTGCCCCCCACCCCCCAAAGCAGACACCTGCAGCCTGAGGCAGGCAGTCTCCGTCTCCTCTTCAAGGACTCCCAGCTTTGGGGCTTTGACAGAGTGTGCTTCCTAAGCGTTTTTCTCTGGGGTCCGCTTGGACCCCAGAATCATTTATTCCTCCAGTAGTGAGCTCACTTCCTGTGCCCTCAGCAGCTGGTCTGAATGGTGCACCCTGACCCAGCACTGGCCCTGGGCCGCCGGCTACCTTGGCCCCCTCTCCGCCTTGGGAGCCAGCTCTCATTCACCATGTCTCCTCCCTCTTGGCTGGTCTTTCCTTCCAACCTGCTCGCCCAAATGTCTCCTAGACACAGGGCTTGTGCCCAGAACATTCTAGCTCATATTGCTAAACCCTCAACCAAATACTTGCAAACCAACCTCTTTCCAACTGTGTAACCATGTTGGTTTCTTCACACCCTTCACGCCACTGGATGGATGTCAATGAACATTTTTGTCTTAATATGTGCACGTTCTAAGAATTCTTTGAGAGTGAGAGTGTGTGTGTGGTTTGTTTGTTTTTTTGAGGTAGAGTTACAGATAAAGAGGAAGAGACAGAGAGAGAGGTCTTCCATTGACTGGTTCACTCCCCAAATGGCCACAAGGGCTGGAGCTGAGCTGATTTGAAGCCAGGAGCTACTTCTGGGTCTCCCATGTGGGTGCAGGGGCCCAAGCACCTGAGCCATCTTCCGCTGCTTTCCCAGGCCATAAGCAGGGAGCTGGATTGGAAGTGGAGCAGCTGGGACTCGAAACGGCATCTATATGGGATGCCGGCGCTGCAGGCAGAGGCTTAACCTACAATATACCACAGCGCTGGCCCCAAGTATGTGTCTTTATGTAAGTGTATCAGCTGTATGAACTTGCTTCACAGAAAACTCTTTTCATTAGCCATTTTTTATCTTTTCATCTTGTAGATTCATATGAATTCTTCTAAATGAAGAAATTTAACTCTATCATACTGTATATGATAGCATGCTGTAAATTATATTTTTTCTATAAATGTTAACATTTTCCAGTTTATATTCTGATTGATTGATTTATTTGAAAG